AGGGGAGGGGGGTTGGCCAAAGCGAACTTTTGCGAACAAGGGGGAGGGGAGGGGTATAGTCTTTAAGAACGTTCGCATTTAGATAATATTTTATTTCTTGTGGTGGGGGGGGGTAGCGGTTAGGGACATGCGAACGTAATTTTTTTAAATGACTACATGCGAACAATTGCGAACATAGGGGAGGGAGGGGGTCTTGATTTCTTAAAAAGTGCGAACGTAATATGTGAACGACGCCTAATAAATATTACTATCAATAAATAAATAATTTAAATAAGTCTTTATATAGTTTTTTTTTTTAATTATGTGTATAACCTTTTCATTCATACTGTCCACAGACCAGCACCAGATAAATATACGGAAAATTATAATAACATAGAAATACCAGACCCTTTCCATTGAGAACCGGGAGTCATATCTGACCAGACTTTTCATTATTGAACTGAACGTAATCGTAAAGAATATGTTAAACGAAAAGATAAATAGTAGTAACGGATTCAGTAGACGATTGGCCTCTTTGATCAGCACCTGTAGTCTACTAATTGAACAAAACAGTTGATCATAATTAACAGGTGATGGTGATGGTGTCAGCAAACCATCGGTAGATTTTAGTAGTAGTCGGCGCTTGAGTTGGCCATTGATTTCGGCAAATATATCCCCAAAATATATAGTATAATACATCAATAGATAGCCAGTAGAAGCGGCAATTGTTAGACTACTAAATATGTTTAACAATCGGAAAATAGTTTCGACGGTCAACTGTTGTTCAAAGAAAAATAGCCGATCACCGGTCGTAATGACTATTTCAAGGACATGTAAGGCCATCAGTGACCACAGTTTGATCGATGTTCGGCCGTTCCGTACGGGAAACTCGTGTAGACTATGGTCTAGTCGTGCAAAACTCGGGCCACGAAATGTGTATATAATAGCAGCCAAAACCGTAAATAAGGTAAACGTTGTGAATATCGATTGAAATACATAGTATGAGAACCGGTCGTCAAAGTTATGTATGTTAACATAACAGTCCATTAGACAGGGAATGGAGTACAGTATGACAACTGTCCATACAATGAATGAATAGACCAGCAGTAGTCGGTCTCGCCATTTGTTTTTATTGTGGGAACTGGTAGTAAGTGATGGTGACATTGTTGATGATGATGACTGTCCTCTACTATCATTATAGCCCAGGTAGCCAATACCGGCTAGCCTATGAAATAGGACTAACCATTTAAATACGGTAACATGTTTGTAATTATTATTATTATTAGTCTCACTAAATAATATAACTAATGGTTTTGTTGATAACATAATTATGTATTCAATAACTAATTGAATTAATTATTATTTTTCATTATTAATGAAAAGTTTAAAGTAATAAAATAATATTATTAGTTATTTATTTATTTTATTATTTTTTATATTAAATGATTATTAATTTTATATTAATAAAAAATAAATTATTTAGTAAATTATTTAGTCATCTATGATACTAATAATAACAACAATAATATTAAATAATAAATTATAGTTTACGATACTATACTATAAATTAGTATTACTAATACATTATATATATATATGAAATTATTATCAAAAAAATTTGAACAAAAAAAATATATAAAAATTAAGTATTAAACAAACAAACAGTTTATTATATATGCTTTTATATACTGTTGTATATTAAAAACACAATTTGTTTATTTTATAATTATTATTATATTTGGTTGATATTTATCTACAAAACTATTTGTTTGTTTGTTAAGTTAAGTTTAACACAAAAAATAAGTACAATTAATAATTTGATATACAGTATATATATATATATATATAATATTTTAATTTATTAAGATAAAAATAATTTACATATTATTAAAATTATTAATAATAATTTTTACAAAACATTTACATTTAATATACAGTACACATTAGATACATATTTAATATTATAACAAAAATATGTTTTTTCAATCAATGATTTAGATTTTGCATTAATAACAATGAGTACGATATTGATAAACCAATAACCTGTTAAATAATAATAATAATTTTTTTAATAAATAGTTAAAAATTTAATTTTTCAAACATATACATATATATATACTATTGATTAAATACCGATAAAAATAGTGGTTTTGATATATTGAAAAAGTTTGACGCATTAAATGTCGGCTGATTTGGCTGTAAGGCTAATATTGACTGAATCTGTTGTTAATTAAGTAATAATTTTTATATTATTTAATAATTTATATATTATTTAATAATTTATATATTATTTAATAATTTATATATTATTTAATAATTTATATATTATTTAATAATTTATATATTATTTAATAATTTATATATTATTTAATAATTTATATATTATTTAATATTATTTAATAATTTATATACAGTAATGTATATATCAAATAATTTATTTTATTTTAAATATAATACTTTAATTTGGTCACCATTGTTGTTGTTGCCGATATTAAATCTAGTTATTAGTTGATAGGTTTGTTTAATCTATGAAATATAATAATTTAATTAATTAATTTAATTTAATTTAATTAATTAATTAAATTTAATTAAAAATTGACAGAAAAAAATTTAATTCCTAATAAATATATAGTTTTTTTAAATAAATAATTTTTTTTTAAATTAGCCCACCTTTTCATCCATACTGTCCACAGACCAGCACCAGATAAATATCCGTACAATGCATACAATATAGAAAGGCCATACCCTATCCATTGAGAACCGGGAGTCATATTTGACTAGACTTTTCATTATATAGCTGAACGTAATCGTAAAGAATATGTTAAACGAAAAGATAAACAGTAGTAACGGATTCAGTAGACGATTGGCCTCTTTGATCAGCGCCTGTAGTCTACTAATTGAACGAAACAGTTGGTCATAATTAACAGGTGGTGCCAGCAAACCATCGGTAGATTTTAGTAGTAGTCGCCGCCTGAGTTGGCCATTGATTTCGGCAAATATATCGCCTAAATATATACTATAATACATCAATAGATAGCCGGTAGAAGCGGCCACTGTTTGGCCGCTAAATATGTTCAACAATCGGACAATAGTTCCTGCGGTCAACCGATAATTGTAAAACAATAACCGATTGCCACTAGAAATCAGTACTTCAATGATATGGATGGCTATCAGTGATCACAGTTTGATGGCTGTTCGGCCGTTCCGTACGGGAAACTCCTGTAGACTATGGTCTAGTCGTGCAAAACTCGGGCCACGAAATGTGTATATAATAGCAGCCAAAACCGTAAATAAAGTAAACGTTGTGAATATCGATTGAAATACATAGTATGAGAACCGGTCCTCAAAGTTATGTTGGTTAATATGACAGTCCATTAGACAGGGAATGGAGTACAGTATGATAACTGTCCATACAATCAATGAATAGACCAGTAGTAGTCGGTTACGCCATTTGTTGCTTTTTCGGTTGTATGAGCTAGTAGTAAGTGATGGTGATGTGGATGATGATGATGACTGTCCTCTACTATCATCATAGCCCAGGTAGCCAATACCAGCTAGCCTATGAAATAGGACTAACCATTTAAATACGTTTACATGTTTGTAATTATTATTATTATTATTATTATTATTATTATTATTATTATTATTATTATTATTATTATTATTATTATTATTATTATTATTATTATTATTATTATTATTATTATTATTATTATTATTATTATTATTATTATTATTATTATTATTATTAGTCTGAGTAAATAATCTTAATGGTTTTGTTGATAACATAATTATATACTAATATATATAGTTATTAATTAATTAAAGTGTCATGGACAATTTTTATATTTTTCATAATTTTATTATAATGTAATAAAATAATATATCATTAGTTATTATTTTTTTTAATTAATTTTATAAATTAAAAAAAAAATATTTTAATAAATTAATTGTTTGTTATGTATGATACTAATAATAAAAGTAATAATAATAATAATATTAAATAACAAATAGATTTTATCGATTAAATTATTGTTTACTATAGTCTATAAATTATATACTAATATAAAAAAATTATTATCAATAATTTAAGCACAAAAAAAATATTCAATTAATTAAGTATTAAACAAACAAACAGTTTATTATATATATTATTATTATAAAAACACAATTTGTTTATATTATAATTATTATTTTGTTGATATTTATCTACTAAACTATTTTTTGTATATATGTTAAGTTTAACACAAATAATTCAATTTATATTATTATTATAATAATATAGAGATATTAATTTTTAGTACAATATTAATTAAAAATTAATTAAATAAATATTAAATTTGTATTTAAAAATATATATAATAGTAAACAGCATTAACATAAAATTAATTAATTTATTAATTATTATTAAAAAATTTAATATTTTCAAAAAAACAATAATAATAAAAGTTAAATTTAGTGTTAATTATTGAAATAAAAAATGATTTTACAATTACTATATAAATGAAAAAAAAACACTAAATTTTTTAAAAAATATTATCACATTTTTCATATATTAAAATAGTTAATTTAGTATTAAAATACAGTATAATTACATATTAGTTAACACGTATAAAAAATAGCGATAAAAATTATTTTTAGTAAATACATGTATTTATTTTTTTTACTTAAGTTAGTTAAGTATATCATTAAAAAATATTATGTATTTATATGTTATATTAACTTTTTTTAATTTTATTATATAATTTAATTAAACATATATTATTATTATTATTATTTATAATATATATATATATATAAATGTATTAATTTTTTTATTGATTTATTATTAAGTAAATTACATGGAAATATTCATATAAGTTAATTGTATCGATAATATTATTATATATTGTTATACTATCACGAGATAATAATTAAAAAAAAAAATTTTTTGTTTAAAAAAACCAAATAATAATTCAAACTTTTTTTTAATTTAATATCTCATTAAACAACAAAAAAATTGTTGTTTTATTTTTATAGACAATTGTCTGCATATAATTCAATTCAATTGAATTTATATATATCTATAAACAACTGGTTAAAAGCCATACCAATAATACTGCTAATAATAATAATAATACCCCACAGTATTGATGATCAGTAAATCTAATAACATTTGCGGGACAGTAGTAGTAGTAGTGGCGATGGTTTGGCCATCGGTGGTACTGATACTACTGTTACTAGTGTTAAGTGATGACCACCATATCGGCGGCGGCGGCGGCGGCGGCAGCGGACAGGTATCGGCAGCGCCAGCCAAGGGTATCATGTGTCCGACCGAAGCCGGTAATGATAAGACCGAACAAAACATTATATGGGAAGCGTTAAGCTGTACCCGTAGTAAATGGGAAACGCCTACTACTACCGGATCCGATCAACAAACCCGTGCCCTTAGACTATGTTGTAGTCGTGTCGATGAAATCCAAATGAGATATCAATTGGTAATTATATAATATTATAAATATATTGGCTTAAATGTATATTATAGACAGCCAGCAAAAAAAACAGTATTGTTTTTAATGTAGTTATACATACAGTATATAAAATGTTAGTTTTATTAGTTAATTATCATTTAGTTACGGTTAGTTTGAGGGCTGAGTGTAGGGTTAGGTTAGTTTGGAGGTAAGTGTGAGTTTAGGTTAGTTTGGATGTTAGGCTAGTTTGGAGGTTAGGTTAGTTTGGAGGTTAGGTTAGTTTGGATGTTAGGTTAGTTTGGAGGTTAGGTTAGTTTCGAGGTTAGGTAAGTTTCGAGGTTAGGTAAAGTGGTTGATTTGGTGGTTTGGTGGGTGGGATGATTTTTTTGGGGAGGGGGGCAAATAATTTTCTACTGGCTGTCTATAATCTACATTTGTTCCTAAATATTAATTAATAAAACTAATTGATTGGGTTATGTTGTTGTTGATGATGATGCTAATGGTGGTGGTGGTGGGGCTCATATATAGTTTTACAAACTGTGCAAAATTATATCACCAAACGATGCCAACCAAACCTATTATATCAATCTATTAGATCGTCAAAAACAATGCAAAGATGATGAACATATAGACTATGATAAGTTACAGTGCGATAAACAACCGGTCGATTTGGACAGCGATGGCTGTCTGTATTATAGACAATATATTATGAATGAAACGATAGCGACAACAACGACACCGATTACTACCGTTCCCGTTGATACCACTGATAGCAGCAGCAGCACTGGTAGTGGTGGTGGTAGTGGTACCAGTATTGACAATACAATAACAACAACAGTAGTGCCACACAATACCACCGGTGTTGATACTGACACCAACACTACCATCATTACCATCACCACAACCACTACTACTAGTGATAATACTATGACATACAGTGACAACAAAACCATACAGTCATCTACTGCTGGTGGAGGAGGAACTGGTATGTTGTTGTCATCTAAAAACTATATCATCCTATTTAATCACTGATCATTTGATCACTTAATTATGGTTTAAATTAGTTATTAATTGATTAATTTTTTGTGTTTTGCTTTGTTTTGTTGGTTTGATTACACATATATATATAAAGACAAACCAATGACTACAACAACAACGACAACAACAACAACGATGACCACTAAAGACAAGTCGTCGTGGAGTATAACATGGATTTTGTTAATCATTTTCCTGATACCTGTTGTAATCGCATTGATAGCCGCAATCGGCATATACTGTAAGCCCCCTTCACCTCTCACACACACACCCTCCCAATCCCACTACTACCTAACCTTCCCAACCTAACCTAACCCCCATCCATACAATCAAATACCGTTTGTCTCTGTATTGTTGCCATTAAAACCAAAAACAAAAAAAACATTATTATTATTATATTAGATATGAAACGGACGGCCGATAAAAATGAGCATATACTGTAAGCCCCCCCCCACACACACCCTATCCCCCACTACTACTACCCTAATCACTACTAACCCAACCCTAACACCTAACCCCCATCCATACAATCAAATACCGTTTGTCTCTGTATTGTTGCCATTAAAACAAAAAAAAAACATTATTATTATTATTATATTAGATATGAAACGATCGGCCAAACGTAGTGACAAACAGTTGTCGTCTAAAAAACCGCCGCCGAAGCCGACTACGGCTACTGGCCAGAGACCGACACCGGTTGCGGCTACACCACAGTCGGTAGCGGCACAACCGGTAGCGGCTCCACCACAGTCGGTAGCGGCACCTGTAACATCTAAAACAACTGTCCCCTCTAGCAATGTTAATACGGCTACCAGTGCTGTCGCCAACAAGTCTAGCGATTCCGCTGTCGATATCCTTAGCAAAACAGATTCCGATCAATCAATTTGATGGTCAGATCAGGTCGTTGTCATGTCGTGTTGTTGTCAATAAGTTTTTTTTAAAGTAATTAATTAATTGATTTTTTATAGTAATTGTTTGTTTGTTTAGATGTTTTCAACAAAACAAAAAAGTTTTTTTTTTATACTTTCTACGCGTATATCTACTGTAAAATTATATTTATTTTTTATAATTATTATAAACTTTACATAACTTTAGGTTTTTTTTATTACTTTACTTATACTCAATATTTGTTATTTATATTAAATTTTATTTACTACATAAAAAAAATTTGAATTATAATTTTTCTAATTTTTTTGTAAATTTTTTTTAGACAATAATTGTTTTATATTATTATTATTAAACACATATATATAAATGTTATTAATTAATAATTAAATAATATATAATTATTATACTGATAAATGTTAGCTAATTTTATTGAATTATTATTTGAAAACAATTACAATTAAATATATATATATATATATATATTTATAAATAGATTATAACTATAGATTTGTATAAATATTTAACATAAAATTTAAATTAATATACTCTCGCACTAATCAATACAATAAACAAAACAAAAATATTGAAATTAATTTTTTTTTTTTAAAAAACAAAACAAATAATAACTATTTTTTTTAGTTAATAATTGTCTGTAATAGTTGTCTGTAATAATAATCATTAATAATATACTAACCTATAAAAGCCTCAAAAGCCATACCAATTAATAATATATGATCAGTAAATCAAATAACATTTGTGGGACAGTAGTAGTAGTAGTAGTAGTGGTGATGGTTTGGCCAACGGTATTGATACTACTGTTACTAGTGTTAAGTGATGACCACCATATTGGCGGCGGCGGTGGCGGCAGCAGCGGACAAGTGTTGGCCGCATCGGTAATCAAGGGTATCGATTGTCCGACCGAATACGGTAATGATAATACCCAACTAAACATTGAATGGGAAGCGTTAGACTGTGCCCGTAGTAAATGGTTTACGCCTATTACCGGATCCGATCCTGAACTTAGACATTGTTGTAGTCGTGTCGATGAAATCCAAATGAGATATCAATTGGTAATTATATAAAATTATTAAATATTAATTAATAAAACTAATTGATTGGGTTATGTTGTTGATGATGATGATGGTGGTGGTGGTGGTGGTTGGGCTCATGTAGTTTTATAAACTGTGCACAATTAGCTCACCAAATGATGCCAACCTAACCTATTACGTGGATCTATTAGATCGTCAAAAACTATGCAAATCGGATAATCATATAGACTATGATAAGTTACGGTGCGATAAACAACCGGTCGATTTAGATAACGATGATTGTCTGTATTATAGACAAAAAATTTTGAATGAAACCACTGGTGGTATCGATTGTACGACTGAACCATATAATGATAAAACCCGACAAAACATTGTTCAGAAAGCATTTGACTGTGCCTTTGATAAATGGTTTAGGTTTAGTATGGGAACCGATACACAAACCATTAATCTTCGACAATGTTGTCGTCATGTCGATGAAATCCAAATGAGATATCAATTGGTAATTATAAACAATAAAAAAAATATATATATATGATATATAATTATTGTTTAAATCTATATTATAAACAGCCAGCAAAAAAAATGTATTGTTTTTCTATGCAGTTATACATATATAAAAAAAAGTTAGTTAGTTTTATTACTGTAATTATTATTTAGTTAGGGTTTACTTTGGGTGTGAGTATGAGGGGTTAGGTAATGGTTGGGTGGGTGGGTGGGTGGGGGTGCAAATAATTTTCCGTCTAGCTGTCTATAATCTAGATTTAAGCCTTGATTTAATTGACCAAAAAAAACTAATTGATTGGGTTATGTTGTTGTTGATGATGATGATGCTGATGGTGATGGTGTGGGCTCATGTAGTTTTACAAACTGTGCACAATTAGCTCACCAAATGATGCTAACCGAACCTATTATAACAATCTATTAGTTCGGAAAAATCTATGCAAATCGGATAATCGCGTAGACTATGATAAGTTACGGTGCGATAAACAACCGGTCGATTTGGACAACCATGGCTGTCTGTATTATAGAAAACATATTATGAATGAAACGATAACTACCGTTCCCAGCAATGAGGCCACTAGTGATAGCGTTGATACCACTGATAGCAGCAACCCTGGTGGTGGTGGTGGTGGTGATGGTGGTACCAGTGTTGAGGACATAACAACAACAGTAGTAGTAGTAGTAGTGCCATACAATATCACTGATGTTGAGACTGACACCAACACTACCATCATTACCACCACCACTACTACTACTACTAGTGATAATACTATGACATACAGTGACAACAAAACCATACAGTCATCTACTGTTGGTGGAGGAGGAACTGGTATGTTATTGTTAGTGTTGGTGTTGTTGTCTAAAACTATAACATCCTATTTAATCACTTGATTGAATCACTTTAATATATGGTCTAAATTAGTTATAAATTCATATTTTTTTGTATTGTTTTGTTTGGTTTGATTACATATATATATATATAAAGACAAACCAATGATAACAACAACAACGATGACCACTAAAGACAAGTCGTCGTGGAGTATGACATGGATTTTGTTAATCATTTTCTTGATACCTGTTGTAATGGCATTGATAGCCGCAGTCGGCATATACTGTAAGTCCCGCACCCACCCGCTCCCACACTACTACCTAATCTTCTAACCCAACCCTAACCTAACCCATCCATACAATCAAATACCGTTTGTCTCTGTATTGTTGCCATTAAAACCACAAAATAAAAAAAAAACATTATTATTATATTAGATATGAAACGGACGGCCGATAAAAATGAGCATATACTGTAAGCCCCCCACACACACACCCTATCCCCCACTACTACTACCCTAATCACTACTAACCCAACCCTAACACCTAACCCCCATCCATACAATCAAATACCGTTTGTCTCTGTATTGTTGCCATTAAAACCACACACACAAAAAAAAACATTATTATTATTATTATATTAGATATGAAACGGACGGCCAATCGAAATGACAAACAGATGTCTAAAAAACCGCCGCCGAAGCCGACTGCTGGTGAAAGACCGGCACCGGTAGCTGCTGTAGCGGCACCTGTATCTCAAACTAACAATGTTATGGCTGCCGATGCTGTCCGTCTCAAGTCTAGCGATTCCTTAGACGATATTCTAAGCAAAACAGATTCCGATCCATCAATTTGATGGTCAGGTCATGTCATGTCATGTCGTGTTGTTGTCAATCAGTTTATTATTTAATTAATTAATTAATTAATTAAATTAAATGATTTATTGATTTGAATTTTTTAAATTAGTTAAAAAAAACTATTTGTTTTTTTTATAGTAATTGTTTGTTTGGATGTTTACAACAACAACAAAAAAAAAACAAAAAAAAGTTTTAAATACTTTCTATATATATATATCTACTGTATATTTATTATTATTATAAACTTTACATTATTTTAGTATTAATTAACTTTTACTCAATATTTGTTACTTATTTTAAATTTTATTTACTACATAAAAAAATTGAATATTATTTAAATTATATCTATTCTAATGTTTTTGTAATTTTTTTTAGCCAATAATTGTTTTATATTAGTTTTGTATTATTAAACACTTGTATATAAATTTTATTAATTAATATATAATTATTATACTGATAAATATTAGCTAATTTTATTGAATTATTATTTGAAAACAATTACAATTATATATACAGTATATATATATATATATATAGATTATAACTATAGATTTGTATAAATATTTAACATAAAATTTATAAATAATATACTCTCGCACTAATCAATAAAATAAAAAAAAATTAAAAATTTATTTTTAAAAAACAAATAATAACTTTATTTTTTTTAGTTAATAATTGTCTGTAATAGTTGTCTGTAATAATAATCATTAATAATATACTAACCTATAAAAAGCCTCAAAAGTAATTAATATTACACCCCATACTCCCCCACCCACCCAACCACCCCCCCCAGTGATGATGAACAGTCAGTCTACTATTGGTAGGACAGTAGTGGTTTGGCCGGTGATACTCATACTAGTGCTAGTATTGACTGACCACCACTACTACCATCAGCACCAGCACATGGTTGGACACTCAGTATCGGCAACAGATGGTGTCGAGTGTCCACCGAAACCCGACCCCAATTACGAAGGACAGATTATATGGGAAGCTAACGGTTGCGGTCACTGTAAATGGATAACAGCTACCGGTGCTTACGAGGATACCGTTAGGCTACGATTATGTTGCGGACGTATAGATGAAATTCAAATGAGATTTCAATTGGTAATTAAATAATTATTATATAATTCAGGGTTACTACAGGGTTTCATCGATTTCAATGGGGGGGTATAGGGGTGGGGGTAAAATGGCAACAAAAAAAACTCGATAAAGTTTGAGGGGGGGGGGGTTTAGGGAGAGGGGTGAACATTTTTGTGATGCATTTTTAAACGACATTTTTTTGTCAAATTTGAGTTAATTCCCACTAAATTCCCAATAAATACCCAATAAATTCCCTATAAATTCCCACTAAAATACCCACTAAAATACCCATTAAAATACCCACTAAAATACCCACTAAAATACCCACTAAAATACCCACTAAAATACCCACTAAAATACCCACTAAAATACCCACTAAAATACCCACTAAAATACCCACTAAAATACCCACTAAAATACCCACTAAAATACCCACTAAAATTCCCACTAAAATTCCCACTAAAATTCCCACTAAAATTCCCATAAAAATTTATTAATTATTAATTAGTCAACAACAAAAAAAACTAACTGATTGCTTATGTATGTGTTTATGTTGGTATTGTTGTTGTTGTTGATGGTGATGATGGTTATGGTGGTGATGGTGGGGCTCATGTAGTATTACAAACTGTGTACCATTACATCCAAAGATAGTTTGGATCAATCGTATAATACATTAGTTTTTGAACGTAAAAATCAATGCAAAAACGAGGATCACGTCGACTATGATAAGCCATTGTGCGACAAACAACCGGTCGATTTGGATTGCAATGACTGTCTGTATTATAGACAACATATGATGACGGCTAATGAGACTACCGTTCCCAACACTATGGCTAGTAGTAGTAGTAGTAGTAGTGATACCTCCGTAAGTGATACTGTAGTAGTCACCACTGATGATGATGTTGGCAGCAATGGTAGTCCCAATGGTATTGACGATACACAGACAACAGTTATCGCTGGCACCGGTAGTACAATGTTGACCAATAATGATATCCTACCTGTTACCAGTAGTAGTGGTGGTGGTGGTAGTGATAGACCTGATACGGGCAACAGTACTACTACAACACCGTCGATGTCCTATAATATCACTGAAAAGCCAACTATTGGTGGTATTGGTACTACTGTTGCGGGTAGTCTATCGATGGCTGCAAACATAGGGTTGGATCTAATATTGTTGATAATTATGATGATAATGATGGCCAACATGTGGACTACTACTGTCCCACTAATCAATTGATTGTATTATAATCTAAAACACAATTATATCATTTTTTAAAGAGTATATTACTATTTATTTGTAATTGTCTATATAATTATTAGCACAGAAAAAAAAAATTATCACAAAATTTTTCATATTATTATTCAATTGTATTTAATCTTATTTTTTTGTTGTTAAAAAACAATAGTTTTTTTTTATTATACACTGTTATTATTGGACTTTTTTTTCAACAACAAAAATAAATACTATATAAATGTTTACTACTAATTCATAATTAAATAATTTATTAACAAATTATTAATTACTAATTAATAAATAATATTAATATTTTTTTTAAGTACAAATAGTGTCTAAATTTTATTTAATATATGATAACAAATATCCATACAATGTATTAATATTTTTCATTATAAATATAGATTATATAACTATTGATTTGTAGTACATATTGAACATTATATATATAAATTTACTTTCGCGCTATCAATCAATACAATAATAATAATTTTAAAAAATTGATTAGAAATTGAATTTTGATTTTAAAAAAAAAACACATAAATAATAATCAACTTTTTCAGTTAATAATAATCACATTTACACACACACACACACACACACACACACACACACACACACACACACACACACACACACACACACATACAGTACAAACACATACATATCACAACAACAACAAAAAATCATAAATTTCTATATTATACTAACCTATAAAAGCCCTTAAAACCCGTACCAATTAATAATACACACCCCAACCCACCCCACCCTCATATACCAGTGATGATAAACAGTAAATCTACTATTGGTGATACAGTATCGGTTTGGCCGGCAACGGTACTCATACTATTAGTAGTAATGGTGTTTACTGACCATCATATCGGCGGCGGCGGAGGAGGAGTAGGACAAGTGTCAGCATTACAGGGTGTCCAGTGTCCGCCGAAACCCGACGATAATTGCGAATCAAATATAACAATACATTCATTTAGGTGTCGGTTAAATAAATGGTACGAAAAGGACGACGACAGTAACCAAACCAGACATCTTAGACGGTGCTGCTCTGCAATCGATGAACTACTAATGAGATTTCAATTGGTAATTATCATTAACTTTAAGATATATATATGTTTATAGTTGTTGTTGTTGTCTTTATTGATGCTTATGTATGATAAGCTTATGTATAATATGCTTATGTATGATATGCTTATGTATGATATGCTCTTATGTATGATATTCTTATGTATAATATGCTTATGTAATGATATGCTTATGTATGATATGCTTATGTAATGATATGCTTATGTATGATATGCTTATGTAGTTTTACCAGTTGTGTACAATTACATCGGAAACTGGTATAAACGGTTCGTTTAATAGTATACTATCCGTACGGCTAAACAATTGCAAAACTAGTCATCAGATAGACTATGATAAGTCTGTATGCGATAGACAACCAGTCTATTTGGATAGCGATAGTTGTCGTTATGTTACAGAAAAATTGGCCGATAAATCATCGACGACAACCACCTCCACGACTACCGTTCCCTCCAGTACTGTATGGACAATCACTACAGTCGATGATACAGTCACTGCCTCCCCCTCCTCCTCCTCTGCCACTGAAAGCAGCGATGGCAGTAGTGATGACACAACAACAACAACAACAACACCAATAGCTGCCAACACTGTGGATACGGGAAGCGATGGCACAGTTAGTACAGTAGCAGTAGTAGTGTTGACCAGTGAGGAGACAACTGGTGTTAATAGCAGCACTAGTAGTAGTAGTAGTAGTAGTGATGGTAGACCTGATACGGGCAACGGTACTACTATTTCTGGGACGACGACATCGATGGCATCGACGACAACAACCACCAGCAAACCATCCGATAGTAAACTATCATTAGTTTTGATAGTATTGATAGTAATCGTAGTACTACTGGTTGTATGTGTTGTTGTCATTGTATTGATTTGCAAATATAGGAGAAGTCGACGACAACAACATTATTCAGTGGCCAAACAAATGAGGACAGTTGGGTCATCATCACCAGTAAATGCCAATCCAGAAACTATACGTTCAATCAATACTTGATTGATAATGTGTCCCTGGGCTGGTACTTGATATTAAATTATATATATATATATATATTAATATAATATGATATGAAATATTTGATAAATTTTTACACAAAATAAAAACAAAATTTTTACCTTAAATTAATTTGAATTATTTGCTACTATTTTCAATATTATTTATTTTTATTGTATTTAGTAATTAATTAATTAATTACAATTAATTACAATTATATAGGATATATAAAGTATATATAATATGATATGAAATATATGATAAATTTTTACACAAAATAAAATCAAAATTTTTACCATAAATTAATTTGAATTATTTGCTACTATTTTCAATATTTTATTTATTTATGTTTATTGTATTTAGTAATTAATTAATTAATTACAATTAATTACAATTATATAGGATATATAAAGTATATATAATATGATATGAAATATATGATAAATTTTTACACAAAATAAAATCAAAATTTTTACCATAAATTAATTTGAATTATTTGCTACTATTTTCAATATTTTATTTATTTATGTTTATTGTATTTAGTAATTAATTAATTAATTACAATTAATTACAATTATATAGGATATATAAAGTATATATAATATGATATGAAATATTTGATAAATTTTTACACAAAATAAAAACAAAATTTTTACCTTAAATTAATTTCAATTATTTGCTACTATTTTCAATATTATTTATTTTTATTGTATTAAGTAATTAATTACAATTAATTACAATTATATAGGATATATAAAGTATATATAATATGATATGAAATATTTGATAAATTTTTACACAAAATAAAAACAAAATTTTTAGCTTAAATTAATTTCAATTATTTGCTACTATTTTCAATATTTTATTTATTTATGTTTATTGTATTTAGTAATTAATTACAATTAATAATAAACACACGTGCAATACTAATATAATTTTTTAAATAATACACTAATAATAATAATAATTAATTCAAATATTTAAAAAAAACAAACAAAAAAATCAAACAAACATTTTTGTTAATTGATTTTTTTTTCTCTTAATAACTGCAATTCATATTATAACCAGTAATTAATTTTATCAATTGGTTTAGTTGTAGACATACATACATACACACAAACATACATATATATATATACATACACACACACACATACATACTGTACTTACATACATACACACATACACACACACTACACATACATACATACACACATATATATATATATATATATACATACACACACACACATACATACTGTACTTACATACATACATACATACATACATACACACACACACATACATACTGTACTTACATACATACACACACACACACACACATATTTTATACTAACCAAACTATAAAAACCGTACCAACAATAATACCCCCGATCTCCCAGCCCTCCCGCCCCCCAGTGATGATGAACAGTAAATCTACTATTGGTGGTACAGTATTAGTTTGGCCGGCGGCGGTAATCATACTATTAGTAATAGTATTTACTGACCATCATATCGGCGGAGGAGGAGGAGGACAAGTGGCCGCATTACAGGGTGTCCAGTGTCCGCCGAAACCCGACGATAATTGCGAATCAAATATAACAATATATTCATATAGGTGTCGGTTAAACAAATGGGACGAAATGGACGGCGACAGTGACCAAACCAAACGTCTTAGAGAGTGCTGCTCTGGTATCGATGAACTACTAATGAGATATCAATTGGTAATTATTATCATTAACTTTATATTGATATATATATGTTTATAGTTGTTGTTGTCTTTATTGATGCTTATGTATGATATGCTTATGTATGCTATTCTTATTTATAATATGCTTATGTATGATATGCTGTTATGTATGATATGCTTATGTATGATATGATTATATATAATATGCTTATGTATGATATGATTGTATATAATATGCTTATGTATAATATGATTATATATAATATGCTTATGTATGATATGCTTCTGTAGTTTTACCAATTGTGTACAATTAAATCGATGAACTACTAATGAGATATCAATTGGTAATTATTATCATTAACTTTATATATATATATATATATTTATTTATATGTTTATAGTTGGTAACAATTGTAGATTATAGACAGTTAGTAGCCCCAAAATTATTTGCCCCCCAAAACAATCCCAAACACTAACCTAACCCCCCCAAACTAACCTAACCACACACTAACTTAACCTAACACTAACCTAACCTCCAATCAAACCTAACCCCCACCCCAAACTACCCTAACTAAGCAATAATTAAGTTATAAAACTATTAACATTTTATATATAGGCATATAATTGCATAAAAAGATAATACCTGTTTGTTTGTTTGTTTGTTTTTTGTTGCTGGCTGACTATCTATATAATATATACATTTAAGCCTATAAGTTATTGTTTTTTTTATGCTTATGTATGTATGATACGATTGCTTATGTAGTTTTATCGATTGTGTACAATAACATCGGAAACTGGTATAAACAGTTCATTTAATAGTTTGAAAACCGTGCGACTAAAAAATTGCAAAGTTAACTATCAGATAGACTATGATAAGTCAGTATGCGATAGACAACCAGTCTATTTGAATAGCGATAGTTGTCGGTATGTTACAGAAAAATTGGCCCAAAAATTATCGACAACAACCACCACCACCACGACTACCGTTCCCTCCAGTACTGTACGGACAATCACTACAGTCGATGATACAGTCACTGCCTCCTCCTCGTCCTCCTCCTCTGCCACTGATGGCAGTAGTGATGACACAACAACAACAACAACACCAATAGCTGCCAACACTGTGGAGCCGACGGGAAACGATGGCACAGTTAGTACAGTAGCAGTAGTAGTAGTGTTGACCAGTGAGGAGATAACTGGTATTAATAGTATCACTAGTAGTAGTAGTGATGGTAGACCTGATCATGCGGTCAACGGTACTACTATTTCTGGGACGACGACATCGATGAGAACAACCAGCAAACCATCCGATAGTAAACTATCATTAGTTTTGATATTATTGATAGTAATCGTAGTACTACTGGTTGTATGTATTGGTGTTGTTGTTGTTGTCATTGTATTAATTTGCAAATATAGGCGAAGTCGACGACAACAACGTCGGCAAAAAAGATGAGGACAGTTGGGTGACCAGTTGTATGTCAATCCAGAAACTATACGTTTAAAATAAATACTTTTATCGGATAATGTGTTGTTTAATTAATATTATTGTTGTTTTTGTTTGACTGTCCCTGGACAGTTACTTGAAAATCAATTATACTGTATTTATATATATATATATATATAGGATATATAAAGTATATAACTTTATTATATATATAATATGATATGAAATATTTGATAAATTTTAAACAAAATAAAAAAATATTTTTACTTTGAATTATTTGCTACTATTTTCAATATTATTTTTTTTAATGTTTTTTGTATTTAGTAATTAATTACAATTAGTTACAATTAGTTACAATTAATTATAATTAATTAAAAAACACGTGCAATACTAATATAATTAGAATAATATACTACTACTACTACTAATAATAATAATAATAATAATTAATTCAAATATTCAAAAAACAAAAATTAAAAAAAAACATTTTTGTTAATTGATTTTTTTCTCTTTATAACTGCAATTCATATTATAACCAGTAATTAATTTTATCAATTGGTTTAGTTGTAGACATACATACATACATACATACATACATATATTTTATACTAACCAAACTACAAAAAAACCGTACCAACAATAATACCCCCAATCACCCACCCATCCCACCCCCCAAGTGATGATGAACAGTAAATCTACTATTGGCGGTACAGTATTGGTTTGGCCGTCAGCGGTACTCATACTGTTAGTAGTAATGTTTAGTGACCATCATATCGGCGGCGGCGGCGGAGGACAAGTGGCAGCATTACAGGGTGTCCAGTGTCCGCCAAAACCCGACGATAATAGCGAATCAACGATTACAATAAATTCATATAAGTGTAGATTAGAAAAATGGGACGAAAAGGACGTCGACAGTGACCAAACCAAACGTCTTAGACGGTGCTGCTCTGGTATCGATGAACTACTAATGAGATATCAATTGGTAATTTATTATCATTAACTTTTATATATATATATATATATATATGTTTATAGTTGGGAACAATTGTAGATTATAGACAGCCAGTAGAAAATTATTTGCCCCCAAAACAATCCCAAACTAACCTAACATCCAAACTAACCTAACATCCAAACTAACCTAACATCCAAACTAACCTAACATCCAAACTAACCTAACATCCAAACTAACCTAACCTCCAAACTAACCTAACATCAAAACTAACCTAATATCCAAACTAACTTAACATCCAAACTAACCTAACATCCAAACTAACCTAACATCCAAACTAACCTAACATCCAAACTAACCTAACATCCAAACTAACCTAACATCCAAACTAACCTAACATCCAAACTAACCTAACATCCAAACTAACCTAACATCCAAACTAACCTAACCTCCAAACTAACCTAACATCCAAACTTACCTAATCTCCAAACTAACCTAACATCTAAACTAACCTAACCTCCAAACTAACCTAACTAAGCAATAATTATATAGGCATATAATTGCATAAAAAGATAATACCTGTTTGTTGCTGGCTGACTATCTATATAATATACATTTAAGCCTTTAAGTTATTGTTGTTGATGCTTATGTATGTATGATACGATGCTTATGTAGATTTATCGATTGTGTACAATAACATCGGAAAGTGCTATAAACGGTTCGTTTAATAGTTTGATTAAAGTAAGACTAACCAATTGCAAAGATAACTATCAGATAGACTATGATAAGTCAGTATGCGATAGACAACCAGTCTATTTGGATAGCGATAGTTGTCGGTATGTTATAGAAAAATTGGCCGATAAATCATCGACGACAACCACCACCACCACCACGACTACCGTTCCCACTACTGTTGTCAATACAGTCACTACCTCCTCATCCTCCCCCTCCTCTGCCACTGATAGCAGCGATGGCAGTATTGATGACACAACAACAACAACAGCGCCAATAACTACCAACACTGTGGATACGGTAGGCGATGGCACAGTTAGTACAGTAGTAGTAGTAGTAGAGTTGACCAGTGAGGAGATAACTGGTTTTAATATGAGCACTAGTAGTAGTAGTAGTGATGGTAGACCTGATACGATCAACGGTACTACTATTTTGGCGACCAAACTAACAACAACAACACCTATGACATCGTCGACAAGTAAACTATCATTACTTTGGATATTATTGATACCAATCGTAATACTTGTTGTATGTATTGTTGGTTTTATTGTCATCGTATGGATAGTCAACAATAGGATCCGTCGACAACAACATTATTCAGTGGGAAGACAGACGAGGACAGTTGGGTCGCCAGTAGATGCCAATCGATAGACTATATGTTCAATAAATACTTAATGATATTATTTTTTTTTTTTGGCTATACTTGACATTCAATTATATATATATATGATATACAGGTATCAAATATTTGATAAATTTTAACAAAATTTTATTAATATATTTTTTTTAGTTGACTTAAATTGATTTGAATTGATTTGTTACTATTATTTATTTATGTTATTTAATATATATATATATATATATTTTTTTTTAAATAAATAAATTTGTTGTTTTAATTTTATAGTTTATTTTTTTTTATTGTTTTTGACAATTTAGTACATGTCTAACCAAATTGAAAAAAATAAAAACATTATTTAAATTATTAATCAAATATACAGTATATCAGTGAATCAAAAAAAATATGCATTCAATTACATTATTTATTTTTTTTAATATTTTATTTTATTAAATAAATTATTATTGTTTATTTTTAATCAATAATTTTTTGTTTAATTGGTTTTATATATTCATATATATATATATATATATATATATATATATATATATATTAATTGGTTATATATTTTACATCAAACATAAGGTAAATTAATTTTTACAACTTTATTGATTTGAATATTTTTTACAGTATTTTATAATTACAGTTATTATTAGACTTTTTTTAAAAAAAAAACAAACAAACAAAAATACTGTATAAATGTTACAAATTATATAAATTTAAATTTAAATACAATACTATAATACTAATTTGACAAATATTGATAATAAAAATTTATTAAATTATTATTATTGAAAACAAAAAATAAATTGATAATAAATTTTTATTATACTGTAATAATATGTGTTCAATTATAATGGTTTATCCAAATTGTTGTTTTTTTAATTAATTAATAATTATTAATTATAATCAACAACAATAAAAACAAAAAACTTAATAAATACAAAAAAAAAAAAATAAATACAATTAATTTTCTTTAATATATAAATTTATTGATAAAACTGTTTTTTTTATATATAAATATTTTTGTTAAATAACTTATTACATTACATACCAGTGTATGAAACTGTAAAAAAAAACTTTAAACAACTCGTGTAAACTGTAAAGTGTGTGTGAAATGCACGCGCGTTGTGCAAAAATTAATTAATTAATTAAATAATTACAATTAATTAAAACACACGTGCATTACTAATAATACTAATAATAATTAATTTATTCAAATATTCAAAAAATCAAACAAACATTTTTTGTTAATTGATTTTTTTTTTGATTTATAACTGCAATTATAACTCTAATTAATAACCAGTAATTAATCTATCAATTGGTTTAGTTAGACACACAAACTAACTGTCCTTTAATATAGTTTTTAATTTGTTTGTTTGTTTGTTTGGTAACTCATATTGTTATAATACAATATACCGTAGATATACACTGTAGTAGTTAGTTTATCTAACTAACTAACTAACTAACTATCTGTCCATCGATTGATTGATTGATATCCCAGACAAACACACAGTCAAACAAACACATTGATGATCAGCGCCGGCAACAAACAAAAGTCATCGATGATGATCGTCATCATCGGTGGTAAGCAGCCATCATCATCAGTGTTGGTGGTGGTGTCCACTGTATTGTTGGTATTGTTGTGCACCAGCAAAGTTGTTGATGCCGCCGTCGATAGTACACCCCTAGGAGTCAACTGTCCGGCCGGGGATAGCGATCCGGTCAATATCTACAACAGGGTTTCCACGTGCTCGAGAAGCAAATGGGGGGGCAATGACAGCGGTCACCGAAAGTGCTGCCAGAATGTCGATATGGTTGAGATGAGGTTTCAATTGGTAAGAGAGAGAGAGAGAGAGAGAGAGAGAGAGAGAGAGAGAGAGAGAGAGAGAGAGAGAGAGACCGATAGACAGATAGTTAGATAGTTAGATAGTTAGATAGTTAGATAGTTAGATAGTTAGATAGTTAGATAGTTAGATAGTTAGATAGTTAGATAGTTAGATAGTTAGATAGTTAGATAGTTAGATAGTTAGATAGTTAGATAGTTAGATAGTTAGATAGTTAGATAGTTAGATAGTTAGATAGTTAGATAGTTAGATAGTTAGATAGTTAGATAGTTAGATAGTTAGATAGTTAGATAGTTAGATAGTTAGATAGTTAGATAGTTAGATAGTTAGATAGTTAGATAGTTAGATAGTTAGATAGTTAGATAGTTAGATAGTTAGATAGTTAGATAGTTAGATAGTTAGATAGTTAGTTAGACAGTTAGTTAGACAGTTAGTTAGACAGTTAGTTAGACAGTTAGTTAGACAGTTAGTTAGACAGTTAGTTAGACAGTTAGTTAGACAGATAGTTAGACAGATAGTTAGACAGATAGTTAGACAGATAGTTAGACAGTTAGCCAATCAGTCGGCCATATCTACCAATATATTTGTTTGTACTGTATCTGTCTATCTATCTATCCTAAAAATAGACCCGCAAACTGTGTACCATTACATCGGAAACGGATCTGACCGCATCGCAAGAAAAATCATTGGCTAACATGAAAAACGATTGTCCAACTGATGCCAAAGTTACCTACGATAAGGCTGCATGCGATGCCGAAGTGGTCAAATTGGATGGCCCGGACTGTGTTTTTATTAATCAGACTGTCGGCGGCGGCGGCGGTGAGAGTACTGGCGTACCTCCAACTGGCGGTGGCGGCAATGCTGCGACCAACGCCGATAGTACAACCGCTGCCACTAGTTCTGCTGGTCAAATGGTTGCAAGCATCGGCCGTATCGTTACCGTCGGTATCGTGATTGGTGGTGGCCAGTTATTGTTGTTGTCGCTGATGATGATGATGATGGTTACCACACCCATCCATGAAGTTTCTAATTAGTATTTATTGTACCCCCCCCCCCCCAAAAAAATGCAGTTAAAAAATCAATTGTCATATTTTATTAGTATTATTATTATTATTACAACAAAATTGTTAATTAATTAATTAGTTATTTTTTTTTTTGGTTAATATTCTGTATTATTATTATTATTACAACAAAATTGTTAATTAATTAATTAGTTATTATTTTTGGTTAATATTCTGTATTATTATTATTATTACAACAAAATTGTTAATTAATTAATTAGTTATTATTTTTGGTTAATATTCTGTATTATTATTATTATTACAACAAAATTGTTAGTTAATTAATTAGTTTTATTATTATTTATTTTTTTTGTTAATATTCTGTATTATTATTATTATTACAACAAAATTGTTAATTAATTAATTAGTTTTATTTATTATTATTTGTTATTATTTTTTTGGTTAATATTCTGTATTATTATTATTATTACCCATTAATATCAACTGTTGTATCAATTTTTTGTATTTATTTATTTTTTGGGACACTATTTATTCAATTTTAATTAATATTATTTTTTTATACAAAAATATATTATAAATATCTATTTTTTTTGTTTATTTCTAAATAAATTATTAGTAAATTACTACTGTATTTATTTTTTTTAAAAAATTTGATCGCTATTTAACTACAATTATTTATATTAAATTACAATTATATTATAGAGTATACAGTATATACCTGTTTGCACGTTATGTAATGATTTAATTTGAAATATATATATTTTTTTTTTGTGTGTTAATAATCTGTAAATCAAAAAATATTGATTAAATTTGAATTATATATATATATTTTTTTTGTTTGGACAGTTAGATAGTGACACACACACACCCCTCCCATCCCCTGCTATAGAAATGTATTCACTATTTATGGGCAATATTGTAATATTGGCCAGTCTGCTGCTGCTGGCACTGGTAGACAGAGTACTGGTAGCTGGCAAAAAACAGGTACTACTAGTACCCGGTATTGAATGTGGTCCGGCCTACCTGATCATACATACCAGTGCTCAACAGTGCGCTACCGACAAATGGCTGTCCAATAGTAGTATTAGTAGTAGCGATGATGATAATCACGAACCCGTACAACGGCTTCGGGATTGTTGCCGAATAATGGACATCATTGTCATGAGAGACCAATTGGTTAGTCATAAAAATCAAATTGAAAGTATCGGTAAAACTTTATTGATAGCACCGTTTGTTTTTTGTTTGTTTTGGTTGATTATATACAGTATAGCAAACTATGTAACCTAACCAACCAGTTATCCTATAAGTTGTGGCTACAGAAAACAACTAAAACAACTGAATCCCAGTGCAAAATATTGAATAGTATAGACTATGCTAAGTCCCGGTGCAATGGCCAGTCAGTATATAAAGATAGCAAACGTTGCGCTTACTATAATCAACATATTAGCGGTGATGGTATGGGTGGTAGTGGTAGTGGGCGTATGGGTATTATTAGTAGAAACAGGTTGACCAGTAATGATACCCATATTGATGATGATGTAGGAACTGGTGGTAATAGTACTGTTGATGACACTAACACCACCACTACTACTACTATGTTGAGTGATAATAGTATCAATAGTACTGTTAGTATTGATAACACTAATGATAGTGTTTTAGTGACCATCGGTACCGTCGCCGCCGCCGCCGCCAACTTAACGGATATTACAGACAGTGACAACAAAACTATACAGTCATCTACTGGTGGAGGAGGAACTGGTATGTTGTTGTTGGTGTTGGTGTTGTTGTCTCTAAAACTATATCATCCTATTTAAATCACTGATCACTGATCACTAACTTTATATAGACTTAATCAATAATTATTTGATTTATTTTTTTTGTATGATTATAATTATATAAAGAAAAATCAATGACAACGACAATAATGACCACTAAAAACAATTTATTGAATATGACATGGATTTGGCTAATCATTATCAGTGTGTTTGTTATGCTGGCAATCATAGCAGCAATCGGCATATACTGTAAGTACACCCCCACCACCAAACACAAACACCCTCTCCCCTCCCACTACTACCTAACCCAACCTAACCCCCACCCATACAATCAAATACCGTATTGTCTCTTAAATTGTTATCATTAAAACAAAAACATTATTATATTAGGTATGAAACGGACGGCCGATAAAAATGACAAACAGTTGTCTACTAAAACACCGCCGCCTAAGCTGGCGCCGCCGACTGGCGTTGTTGGGCAGCAGACACCGGCACCGGTAGCTGTACTGACGGCACCTGTAGTGTCTCAAACTGTCGACGACAATGATTTGGCTGCCGATTCTGTCAGGTCTAGCGATTCCGATGAAGATATTATTAGCAAAATAGATTCCGATCCATCAGTTTGATGGTCAGGTCAGGTCAGGTCATGTTGTCGTCAATAAGTTTTTTTTCAAAAAATAGTAATTAATTAATTAAATTAATTATTTGTATTTATTTTCAATTATTTAATGCAAGAAAAATTGATTTAATTTTTTTGTTGTTAATATTTTTTTTTTAAATTAATCTTTCGACAAATATCTGTATATTTATTATTATTATACAGTGTATAGTCTATGAATATTAATGGCATTTAAAAAAAAAATAATAATAAATAATTTTATAGTATATTACTATTAATTTGTAATTTTTTTAATAAAAAAAATATTTATTACTAAATATTAGTTTATAATTTTTTAAAAATAAAAAAAAGTTTAATAAATACTACAATTAATATTATAATTAATTTATATATATATATACAGTAGTTTATATTATAATTATTTTTTTGATAATAAAGTTAATTTCAATTGAAATGAAATATATGTTTTTGAAAAACACGAAACTAACAACTCGTGTCGTGTTTTAGTGTAAATGCACGCGCGTTGATTAAAATACAAAAATTATTATTATTTTCACCTAATATTAGTGTAATAATCATTAAACTAAACAAAATTCAAAAAAATAATAAATATTATTAAAAAACTAACAAAAAACACGTTCAAAAAAATAATAATACTAACAATAATATGAATAATTCAAACATTTTTTTTAGTGATTGATTGATTGATTTATTTAATTTTTTTTCTAAACTAAATAATCATATTATAAGTAGTAATTTAAATACACGCGCACACAAACACACAAAAAACACGTGCAATACTACTACTACCAATAATAATACTAATAATTTATTTACTAATTATATAATTAATTTAAATATTTTTTTTAAAAAACCGGTAATTAATCTAATCATTTGGTTTACTGTAGTTGTTTGACAATAACTAACTGTCATTTAATATACAGTTTTTTGTTTGAAAAAAAAAGTTTATATATATTTGTTTGTATTATATAAGTTGTTATCCCAACTATCCATCCATACATCCATTGATTGATTGATTTGATATACATTGACAAACAAAACACACACCAGTGATGTCGTCAATGATGGTCATCGGTGGTGGTGGTGGTGGTGGTGGTGTTGATAAGCAGCCATCATCATCGGTGGTAGTAGTAGTAGTAGTAGTCGGCACTACTAGATTGCCGGCACTGGTAGTGTTGTTGTTGGTATTGTTGTACGGCATCATCAGCATCGGTAATGCCGAGGATACCCTACCGGCCAGTACACCACAGGGTGTCAACTGTCCAATAAGAGACAACAATGATAACGTTAGCAGTATCTATATATATTTAACTACCACCGACTGCGCTCAGGCTAAATGGGCATTGGTGGTGATTGATGACTACAAGTTGGGAAAGTGCTGTCAGAATGTCGATATGGTTATCATGAGGTTTCAATTGGTAAGACAGACAGTTAGACAGACAGACAGACAGAGAGACAGTTAGATAGAGAGACAGTTGGATAGATAGACAGTTAGATAGATAGACAGTTAGATAGACAGTTAGATAGACAGACAGTTAGACAGACAGACAGAGAGACAGTTAGAAAGATAGACAGTTAGATAGATAGACAGTTAGATAGATAGACAGTTAGATAGATAGACAGTTAGACAGACAAACAGAGAGACAGTTAGATAGAGAGACAGTTAGATAGATAGACAGTTAGATAGATAGACAGTTAGATAGATAGACAGTTAGATAGATAGACAGTTAGACAGACAGACAGAGAGACAGTTAGATAGAGAGACAGTTAGACAGTTAGACAATACTTAATCTGTATATAACTTATAATTGCATACAATAATTATACGGTATATCTAACTTTAATATATACTGTATATATATATATATAGTCCCGTAAACTGTGTCCCATTACTTCCGAAACCGATTTAGTCGTATCGTACAATAAATCCCTGAATGCAATGATGAATAATTGTGCCAAAGAATACAAAGTCGACTACAATAAGGCCGCATGCGATGGCCAGACAGTCAATTGGGATGACCAACGTTGCGACTATTATAAGCAAAAAATGGAGATCCAGGGCCACCCGAGTCATGATGGCCAGCCAACTGCTGGTCCGCCAACTGATGGTCAACCAACTGATGGCCAACCAACTGATGGCCAACCAACTGATGGTCCACCAACTGCTGGCCAACCAACTGCTGGTCCACCAACTGATGGTCCGCCAACTGCTGGTCCGCCAACTGCTGGTCCGCCAACTGCTGGTCATCAAACTGGTCCTCCAAGTGGTGGCGGCGGCGGCGTCCAAACAAGTGCTGCTCCGATCCAGACAACTACCGCTAAAAATTCCGGTCAAATGCTTGGCTTTGGCGGCGGCGGCGGCGTCGGCGGTACTTTAGTCGGTATATTGATGACCAACCACTTGTTGTCATTGTTGTTGTCGATGATGACGCTGATGATGATGGGTTACCATCACTCATGAAGTCATTATCATCTCATAAAGTTTTTTCTTCAAAAAAAAAAACAATTATTATTATTATTAGTGTAGAAAAAAGCCAAAAACCAATTGTCATATTTTATTTTATTTATTATTAGTATTTGATTTTAATTTGATTTTTAATTTATTTGATTTTTAATTTATTTGATTTTTTTTTATTGAAATCTATTATTAACAGAAAATTATTAATTAATTAGTTTTTTTTGTATTATAATTATTAATTACTGTATTATTATTACCCATTAATATCTATTTGTTGTTTTATTATTATTATTATTATTTTGTTTGTTTGTCACTATTTATTGAATATTTTTTTGGGGGTATTTTTCTATACAAAAAAAAAATAACAAATCAATTAATAAATATCTAACTATTTTGTTGTTGTTGTTGTTGTTGTAAATTATTGGTTAAATTAATTAATTTCAATATAAACAAAAAAAAAAATATTACTATCAATAAATTAAATTAAATATTAATTAAATAAATAATATAAATTAATTAATAAAATTAAATATATATATAGTAAAAAAAATATTGCTATTTAACCACAAAGATATTTATTAATATTTTTATTAATAAATACAACCATTTATATATTGATAGAAAATAATTTTTATTTAAAAAAAATGTTTTATATTTTAGTAATTTACAAAAATTGTATTATTGTAAGATACAATTAATTATTTTAATTTTTTGTATCATTATTAATCATATAAAGAGCCAGTCAATTGATCTTGCGCCACGTAATTTTTGAATAACTTTTAAACGGTTATAGATAATTTAATTCTGTAAAATACATTTAAGAATATCATATCGACCACACTTAATATACACACAAACGCAAAACTAGGATGACCAGATATACATAATATCGGGACCATCGAAAGACACTATGCTACAGGTCAAACCACAACTGATAAATTTATTATGATAAATTTGTAGTCAAGAAATAATAGTTTAATATAAAAAAAGAATCATCAAAATCGAATTGGTAGTTTAGTTTTTATGCCTTGTTAAGTTTGTCATAAATCATATTATATAATATGGTCTAAAATAAAAATGACGTTATTTATGATTATTATATATTTATAAGATAAAATTTTCAATTATTATACTAATTGTAAAAACGAAATTTTAATATATCGACTAGTTTTCAAAATAATCGAATTTGAATATAAATCACACTATTGTAATTTTATAATATAATTTATATTAAAATTCGATTATTTTGAAAACTAGTTGATATATTAAAATTTCGTTTTTAGAAATATTAATATAATTTAAAATTAAATCTAATAAATATATAATATTCATAAATAACGTCATTTTTAATTTAGACCATATTATATAATATGATTTATGACAAACTTAACAAGCCATAAAAACTAAACTACCAATTCGATTTTGATGATTCTTTTTTTATATTAAACTATTATTTCTTGACTACAAAGTTTCATTGTCATAATAAATTTATCAGTTGTGGTTTGACCTGTAGCATAGTGTCTTTCGATGGTCCCGATATTATGTATATCTGGTCATCCTAGTTTTGCGTTTGTGTGTATATTAAGTGTGGTCGATATGATATTTTTAAATGTATTTTACAGAATTAAATTATCTATAACCGTTTAAAAGTTATTCAAAAATTACGTGGCGCAAGATCAATTGACTGGCTCTTTATATTGTAAAAAACTATTTATATTATAAGTTTTTTATTTAAATATTAAAAACTAATTTATGAATTTTTTATGAATTTATTTATATTTTATGAATTTATTTATATTTTATGAATTTATTTATTTTTTTATGAATTTATTTATTTTTTATTATTTTATTTTTTTTTTTTAAAAATTATTATTATTTTTTAGTCGATTGAGAGCTCGTTAATAGTTTTGAACTACTTGTAGCTGAACTCTGTTTATCGGAAACGGTTGTCATATTATCGGACGAGTCGTCCAAACCGACTGCACGACTGGGACCCAGACTATTATTAACCGACCGTATCGTTTGTTGACCACTTTTCTGACTATTCATATCCGCTGTTGTTGTTGTTGTTGTGTTGATATCCCTGAGCCGAATAACAGTACCTTTTTGTCTAATATATACACAGCTAATAATCGTAAACAATAGGATCAGTAGACCGGAAACTACGGCAACAACAATAATTATTATTATCAATGTTATGGATCCATGTGCTGCTGCTGCTGCTGGTGTATGATCAACATTAGCCGCCACCTGACCGGGACCTGGACCACCACCTCCTGGTGCTGATGATGATGTTATATGTATTGTTGTTGCTGTTGTGGTAGTGTCTGGTTTGCATCGGAAAAACTCGGTAACCGTTTTTGTCTATTTGTGTATATGATATATATATATATGAAAAAATTAAATAAAATATTTATTATACATTTAGTCGGGGAATGGGATGATATGGGATGGGATGGGATGGGATGGGATGGGATGGGATGGGATGGGATGGGATGGGATGGGATGGGATGGGATGGGATGGGATGGGATGGGATGGGATGGGATGGGATGGGATGGGATGGGATGGGATGGGATGGGATGGGATGGGATGGGATGGGATGGGATGGGATGGGATGGGATGGGATGGGATGGGATGGGATGGGATGGGATGGGATGGGATGGGATGGGATGGGATGGGATGTTAGGGAATAACAACAACAAAATAATCAGTATATGTGCAGTTAATACCGTATTGATAAGCTCTCTACGATCACCATAGCGGGTGTCCGCCGCCACATTTAGCCGAAAAACATAACTGGTCAGATCGTTATCGAGTGGCCGATCGCCGACAGCGTAGACTTGGCCGCCGTACCAAAACATACCCGCAAAACGTACATTTGTATTGAGTTTGGAGGTCAACATCATTGTCGACTCGTACCAGTTCGGCACATGTATGTCCGACCAGATTAGTGCCGACATATGTTCGTTGGCATTATAGACGATAAACATTACTTCAAATTTGCCGCCGGCGGCGGGCCTGAAGACACTGTTACGGGCTTTATTGCGATCATTGTTCCAGTTTTGTGGCCATATTTTGTCGATATCCGTATCGCTGGTCAAACCCCACGGATAGTCCTGAGGCGAGACAACAATGTCGTCGGCGCCGTTGTTGTTGTCCATAACTTTACGGACAATTGTCCGTTCAATACCCGATCGGTCGCTGTATTCGCGAGTAAAATACATTTTGTATGCTTTTCGTTGTTGACGGCAATCACTGTCGGCACCGACACCACAGTAGGCAATGTCTGATACGTAGAAACTGGTCATCAGTGACCAGTCTATATAAATATACGGTAGATAACCGGTAGTTATAGGTTAACCCCCGACAATGGCAATCAATCAAACAATCAATTTATTATATAAGTTATTAAAACTTTTTTTAAAAAAAATTGTTTGTATAACTGACTGACTGTCCAGTACTGTCCAGTACTGTCCAGTACTGTACTGTACAAACATACCGTCGCCATCGGTCGACTCGCGGACCGGTGGCTCCGAAAATGACTGGTTCGGTATACTGTAAGTCCATAGCCAGCGATCACTGTTAGTTAGTTTCGATTTGATCATCAATTTCGGGCCGTAATTGAAGATCGAGTCAAAGTGTTTGGTCAGACAAAAAACGGGCGATAAGTTTGCCGGACCGGTACCGACACCGACAGCGACAACAACAACACCAGTAATGTATAGTAAAAACCAATTAAAATCAAACATTATTAATACAGTATATATAATAATTAATAATAATTATTATTAATTTATAGCAGTTTTTTAAAAATAAATTAATTTAATTTAATTTAAATTCAATGATTATCACGTTATAAACAATTGAAACTTTTTTTTTATTTATTACAATTAAATTTTTTACATTAATTTGTTATTTAGTATTAATTTTATTAGTAAATTGTGATTTTTGCAATTTAACTATTATTAATATGCTATTATTAATTAATTAATTAATTAGCAATAATTTACTTGTATAATAATTTATAATCAGTATATATATATATATATATTTCTAAGAGATTTAAATTAATTTTTTCTATATATATAAAAAAATCTGATAAATATAATACTAATTGAATGTCAAATAAAGTTTTACAATAAGTATTTAAAAAGGATTAAAAACTATTTTTTTTTTAATTTGTATAATAAAATTGAATTAAATTTCATGATCTGGTATTGGCTTTTAATTTTCAAATATATATTTATTGATTAAATAATTAGATATTTTTTTTAATTAGTTAATTAGTTTACAATAATTTATTACTAGTTTTTAATTAGCAAAATATTACGAAAAATTATTTTTTTGAATTAAATTTATTTATATTTAAATATATATATAACTAATAATTAAAATAATTAAACCATTAATTTGATTAGTAATTTAACTGTAATTAAACTGTTAATTAAAACCAAACAAAAAACAACAAAATTAATTAAAAAAAAAACTTTTTTAAAAACCAAAAAAATTAAATTATTATAAATAAAATCAAATCATATTTTTTGTTTGTTTGTTACATAACGTTGTTTATGAACGACACACACAATACATATTAATGCAAACACACAAAACAAATACAAAAAAAAAAATAAAATAATAAATAAATTTAAAAAAAATAAATATTTATTATTCAAAACAAAAAAAAATTGTTATGTTTTTCGGTAAACAACTAATTGATAGTAAATTTATAGTTAGTTTTATTGCAATCATTGTAATCACACAAACACACAGACAGACAGCTAATGTCGTCGACAATCACTTCAGAGTCCAAGACATCATCGCCGCCGCCGACGCCGTTGTTGTCGACCTCAACAACAACACCAACAACAATAGCGGCCAAACCGTCTGCGGACACTTTACCGGCAACAACAACAACAATGGTGGCCAAAGTATCGACATCGGCGGCGGCACCGGTTGTTGTTAGTAGTAGTAGTAGTAGTAGTAGTGGACAGTCCTCGTCGCCAAAGCCGACAACGCCGTCGGCGACAGTTATCACCGATACGACGACCGGAAAGTCGTCGGCGACGGCGGCGGACAAAAGCACAGTGAAAGCCACGGCTGGCAATACAGCAACGATGACGACGACGACCGAAAAGGCGGCGCCGAAGACAACAAGATATACAATACCGAAGATATCTTCAACACCGAAGACAACCACAACACCGAAGACTACAACAACAACCACAACACCGAAGACTACAACAACAACACCGAAGACAACAACAACACCGAAAACTACACCAACAATACTGAAGACTACAACAACAATACTGAAGACTACAACGACAACTCCTAAGACTACAACAACTCCTAAGACTACAACAACTCCTAAGACTACAACAACTCCTAAGACTACAACAACACCGAAAACTACTACAACAACACCGAAGACAACAACTTCAAAGACAACAACAACTCCTAAGACAACTCCGATTACTACCACCACTACTACAGCGTCCTCTAGCTCTTCGTCTTCGTTATCCACAACAAAATCCACACAACGAAAGTCGGCGACGGCGGCGAAAAATGCCATCAAAGCCGCCGCCGCTGCTGCAGCTACGGCCGAGTTGGTGGACAACAATAACTCCACCCCTACGACCCCGGCCTCCACCACCACCGGCAGTGATGAAAACGAAAACGTTTCGCTCTACAAGTTTACGGTTAACGAAAAGGTACTCTGTCTGGAACAGAGACAGGAACCGCTCATCTATGAGGCCAAGTGTCTGAAACGTCGTCAAGTGGACGGCCAGTGCCAGTATTTTATCCATTATAACGGCTGGAACAAAAAATGGGACGAATGGGTGGCCGATCAGCGAGTGTACAAAATTACTGATGAAAATCGTCGCCGACAACAGGAACTAAAGGCCGAACATTTGGCCAAAGAAGCGGCCAATAAACGCAAGAACACGGCCGCCGCCGCCAACGCAGCAACAGTTGTTGCCGATACCAATGGCAACCAAAAAGAGTCGACACCGACGGCTGCCAAACGGGCCAAGACATCTACGACAACGACAGCGACGTCGGCGACTAATGGCAAAAGTGCGGCCAAAGATCGTAATTATAGTTGTAAGCTATTTGAATGGACAACAGATATTATAGTGTTTTCGGGTGATTACCGATATTTACCGATTGTTTTTATTTATTTATTTTGTTTTATTTGATAATAGCCAATAGCAGCGAAAGTTCGGTAACAACGACGGCCAACAACAACAAAGTCACTGATAATAATAATAACAATAATAAGAACCGAAAAGGTAGTCACAAATCGGTTCCGGCGTTTGTCGAAACAGAGGACGCTTTCGCTACTAAACCCGAAATACGTATCAAAATACCCGACGAACTTAAGCCGTGTCTGGTGGACGACTGGGATCTGATAACCAGACAATCGCAACTGTTTGAATTGCCCGCTAAGATAACCATCGATTTTATACTGGACAACTATATCAAGCAGCGGGTGGCCACCAAATTGACAACCGTCAAGGAAAGTCAGGTACGGGAAGTGGTTACCGGTATTCGCGACTATTTCAATTCGATGATCGGCTGTCAACTCCTCTATCGATTCGAGCGACACCAGTATCAGGAACTGTTGGCCAACAAACTACCCGATCAGTCGATGTCCCAGATATACGGTGCCATACATTTGTTGCGATTGTTCACGAAATTTGGCCACTTTCTGGCCTTTACATCGTTGGACGAAAAAACTATACAGTTATTGTTGTTGCATATACACGACTTTTTGAGATACCTGTCCAACAATGGCGAACTGTTCAGTGCCAAAGACTATCAGACAGCATCGCCCGAGTATTTAAGGAAAACTATGAGCTAATAGAGCTGAGAGAGAGAGAGAGAGAGAGAGAGGACAGGGAGTCTATATATATTAGACTATAGACTTATCGGTAATAATAAAAAAACCCAATAATAACAAATCGATAGCCACTAGTAGTAGTAGTAGTAGTTGTAGTAATAATTGAATTATTATTTTTTGAAGTCATAAACAAATGTGTGGTTTTTTTTATTACTAAAAAAATGTATTTTATTTTTTTTTAAAATATTTGAGAAAACAAATTGTGTTTTTTTTGTGTGTTTGTGTGTTTTTTTTTTAATTATTATTATTATTTTTTTATAATAGCATAGTTAGGTATAAATCATTTATGATGTTGTTGTTGTTGTATATAATTATTGTATTTTTTTTTATTTATATATTTATAACTTATATATATATTTTACTAATTGATTGAAACATTGAAATTTATACAAACATTACATTAATCGCACTTTTAATTTCATAATTGAAATATATATATATATTTTTAAAAATTTTGTTTTTTTTATTTTAGTTAATATTTTTTTAAAAAAGTTATTTTTTCCCCTCATTTATAACATTATATTGATAGCATTTTTTTAWAAAAAAAAATTATCTCATTTTGTATAATCATTATTAGTTTTAACCAACAATAATAATAAAATTTATTTGTATTATATAATATTCACACAAAATTTTGACAATAATAAAAATATTTAATTTTTATAATTACTGTATAATTTTGTTTTTTTTACTTTTATTTTTTAAATTTTTTTTAGTAATGTTATTATTATTAAAATATTTTTTATCTGTATATTTCAACAACAACAAAAAATTGTAGTTTAAAACAAGTAAGCAATTGAACACAAATTTTTTTATATATATATAWAAAACTACAGGTATTTGAATATATATAATGATTTATATATAAATTCATAAATAAATTTTTTATTTTTTAAGTTAGATTTTTGTTTATCAAGGTCAACATAGGTTTCACCAAGATTAATTTTGTTATGTGACATATATATATATATATATTATATTAAATTGTTTATAACCAAAAATGTACTGGCTGTCTAGGACCTAGACTCTAGTTTATTATTATTATTATTATTACTTATAAAAAATAAGTTATCATTAATTAAGCTAGCTGAAATGATTTATAGTAACTTTAGTTATTTTTTATTAAAAAAAATAATTTACCTGTATCTATGGTTAGATATACTATACTAGTCAATAGTATTAACTTTATATATTTTTAAATATTAAATAAAATAAAGTCTAAATTATTTAAAAAAAACAATTTTTTAAATAATTACAATTTTTGTTATAAAAAAACTATTTATCATAATTGACTGTTATGTGAAAAAACAGTTAATTATTATAATTTATTTTTGGCAAACATTACCTAATTAAATAAAAATTTATATATACTGTATTAAATGCCAATTAAATTATATACACTATTAGATTATAGATATCGTATATATATATATATATATATATATATATATATTTATAAAAAAAACTATTCAATTGATTAAAGTATATCTAAATCAWTTCAACTAATTTATAACTATGTGTTTGAAATTTTTAATTACAATAATCATATTTCATTTGAAACTATTATACAAATATATATAAATTTATAAATATATATATATATATATATATCTATATATATGATACATATATATTAATGATTGCTAATTAAGATACTGCTAAATGGGGTAAAAAGTTAATATATTTTTACTTATTATTATTATTATTACATATTTAATTTTTTTAAAAAAATAATAATTAATTTGATAAGCTTGTAAATGTAAAAATTATGATTAATTGTAAAGTTTTATATTTGGACAAAAAAAATARTTATTTAAATAAATTTTATAATCAAACAATTCAAACAAACAAAAAATAAATATAAAATAAAAACTTAATAATACATTCAACAACAAAAAATTATAACTTATTTTTTTTATTCAACCGTTTAAACCCTCGGGACATACCTATACTATATATATATATAAAATACCACATAAAGTGTACTCTCCYTTAMACTTATATATTTTTTCCCAACATACCTGTCCCCTGAATATTGAGCGGGAAAAAATATATATATATATATATATATATATATATATATATATATATATATATATATATATATATATATATATATTGGTTATGTATTGTTAAATATAAGTTAAACTAACAAATAAAAAAAATCAAATTTAATACTAACAYACAAAAAAACAAATTATACGTTTGTATTATTTAGTGATTGCAACCAATGAATACAATTTTAATGTTTTTAAATTTAAATGATTTAAATGATGATACATACAGTAAGTATTACCTACATATACACACACATACATACACATAATACATTGACACACATACACACACATATACACACACATACACACACATACACACATATACACACATATATACACATATACACACATATACACACAAACATACATATACACACACATATACACACACATATACACACACATACACACACATACACACACATATATATATACACACACATACACACATATTCACACATATACACACATATACACACACATATACACACACATATACACACACATACACACACATATATATATACACACACATACACACACATACACAMACATACACACATACATACGTAAAAAATATATTTATTACATTAGACATCCAATTGTCAGGTAAATATTTCAAGGTTATAACATTTATAAATTATACTAGACACATTGAGCTTAAAAATTAAAAAATATAATAAAATAAAATAAAAACTTCATTGGTAACTAAACTAAAGTATATAATTAAATTTATATACTATTTTTTATATAAATTATTTTTTTTATCTCAATAGTTTCAATTGGCAATGTAAAATAAAGTTTATATATATATTGATATATAAATTTTAAAATGTTTAAACTAATTTTTTTTTGTTATAAAATATGTTAAATAAAAATTAAATTTTAAGGCAATATGTATAATAATTTTACAAAATAATATAATAATAATAATTTTTTTTATTAATTTATAAATACTTTATTGTGTGCATAAGTTTATTAAATTATTATTATTATATAAATTTTGTTAAAAATAATTTTATTATTATTATTATTATTATGTAAAATCAATTTGTCATTTGATTAGTTCAATTAGATTTTATATATCTATTAATATAATTGATTTTATTAAAAAATTATAATTAAAATAAAATACTAAATTTATATAATAATAATTATAATAAATGTACAAAAATATTAATGTTTTTTTTAATCAAACATAGTTGTAGTGCAATATTAATATTATTAAAATAAATTATTAAAAATAATTTTCTAATCATAGATCCATTATTTATGTTGTGTTATAATATTTTTCAGTTAATAAAAAAAATTATATAATTTAATGTGTTTTTGATATTTATTTTTTTTTGACTATTAATCAGATTTCTTATCGATTTTTTTGTAATTAATTAAATTAATTAAATAAATAAATAAAAACAAAATTTGCAAATGCATAGTTTAAATACTATAAAATTTATATTATATATATTGAAATTATTTTACAGTATATAAACTCTAAGATATAAATACAATCTATACTAACGATAAGATTATTATTATTATTATTTAATTTAATGAATAATTATTTTTAGCAAATTTTTTTTTATCAATTTAATGTAGTAGTAGTAATATATTATTATATTTTTTGTTGAAAAAATTGTATTTTTCACTAACAGCACGTTTTTTTTGAAAAAAAAATTAATTTTTTGTTACACACTGTGATAAACCACACAAACATACATACAGTACATATGTGTTATACACGTGAAAATCATGTGCAAACCAGTGATTAATTATAAATTAATAATAATAATAATATATATGTAGTTTTTTAAAAATATTAAAATTATTTATTTAATTATTTAGCATCATAGATGATTTACAGTATAATAAAAAAAATATTTAATTAAACTATAGAATAAATATATATATAATATTCAAATATACAAAAATTAATATAAAATCTAATTAATTAAAAAATTACTAATTATACTATCATTTATCAATATAATAATTATTATATAATTAGTTAGCAAACGTATAAATTTATTGTATAAATAGTAACTGTAATTAACAGTAAAATACCCACACATTTACTCACATTATATTATATATAATAGACACACAAAAAAATAGAAAAGTTTATGGTTTTTATATATATATTAAAAAAAAACTATTTTTAGTACAAAAAGTAAAAAAAACAATAAAAAATTATTTCATAATACTAGACATTAAAACAAACAAAAAAGTGACAATTTTTGTTGTTGTTGTTGTTATATTTTGGTTTAATTTTTATTGTTTAATTAATTACTAAAACACTAGACTTGGGATAAAATAAAAACAAATTAATAAACAAAAAATACTTACCAACAAAATAAAAAATCATTATATTATTATATTTAAATTATTTGAAGCCCCTGACAACAAAACAATATATATATATATATATATTAAGTAAATTAAACATAAATATATATTATGTAAATTAAATATATATATAACTATATTTAATTTTAAAACTTAATTTTATGTGTGTGTGTGTATATGTCAAACTCAACAAGTACAATTATTTGATTTTATTAAATTATTATAATTTAACCATGTTGCTATAGTGAGGAGATTAATAATAAAAAGTGAGATATTTTTAAGAGAGAGAGAGAGAGAGAGAGAGAGAGAGAGAGAGAGAGAGAGAGAGAGAGAGAGAGAGAGAGAGAGAGAATAAGAAATTTTTGAATTTGAATTAAATATATATATTTTTTTTGATTTTTATTTCACTAGAGAGAGAGAGATTTTTAAGAGAGAGAGAGAGAGAGAGAGTAAAGAGAGAGATAATTAAAAAAAGATTATTAGAGAGAGAGATAAGAGAGAGAGAGAGAGAGAGAGAGAGAGAGAGAGAGAGAGAGAGAGAGAAAGACAGAGAGAGAGAWAGAGAGAGAGAAAGACAGAGAAAGACAGAGAGAGAGAGAGAAGAGAGAGAGAGAGAGAGAGAGAGTAAGACAGAGAGAGARAGACAGAGAGAGAGAAAGACAGAGAGAGAAAGACAGAGAAAGACAGAGAGA